CAAGAACAAGTATCCTTTGCCTCGTATTGATGATTTATTCGACCAGCTTCAGGGAGCGAGGGTGTTCTCTAAGATTGATTTGAGGTCCGGTTATCATCATCTGAAGATTCGGGATTCAGATATTCTTAAGACAGTTTTCAGGACCCGATATGGCCATTATGAGTTCTTGGTGATATCTTTTGGGCTGACTAACACCCCAGCAGCGTTTATGCATTTGATGAACAGTGTATTCCAGCCCCATTTGGACTTATTCGTCGTTGTATTCATTGATGACATCCTGGTGTACTCTCGTAGCCAGGAGGAGCACGCTCAGCATTTGAGGATTGTATTACAGCGATTGAGGGAGGAGAAGCTTTATGCAAAGTTCTCCAAGTGTGAGTGTTGGCTCAGTTCAGTAGCATTCTTGGGAAATGTGGTGTCCAGCGAGGGTATTCAGGTGGATCCGAAGAAGATAGAGGCGGTGCAGAGTTGGCCTAGACTGTCCTCAGCCATGGAGATTAGGAGCTTTCTTTGTTTGGCGGGTTACTACCGTCGCATTGTGGAGGGATTTTCATCTATTGCATCACCCTTGACCAAATTGGCCCAAAAGGGTGCTCCATTCAGGTGGTCGGATGAGTGTGAGGAGAGCTTTCAGAAGCTCAAGACTGCTTTGACCACATCTCCAGTGTTAGTTCTACCATCAGCTTTAGGTTCTTACACCGTGTATTGTGATGCCTCGAGGATAGGCATTAGTTGTGGTTTGATGCAGGAGGGTAGGGTGATTGCCTATGCCTCATGCCAGTTGAAGTCCCATGAAAAGAACTATCCCGTCCATGATCTTGAGTTAGCAGCCTTTATTCACGCCTTGAAGATTTGGTGTCATTATTTGTATGTGGTTCATTGTGAGATCTATACAGATCACCGGAGTCAGCAGTATCCGTTAAAGCAGAAAGATCTTAATTTGCGTCAGCGAAGATGGTTGGAGCTTCTTAAGGACTATGATATCACTATTTTGTACCATTCGGGGAAGGCCAATGTGGTGGCCGATGCTTTGAGTCACCGGGCAGAGAGTTTGGGGAGTTTCGCATATCTTCCAGTAGCAGAGAGACCTTTGGCATTAGATGTTCGGACCTTAGCAGGCCAGCTTGTCAAATTGGATATTTCGGAACCTAGTCGGGTATTGGCTTGTATGGTCTCCAGGTCTTCTCTTTATGACCGTATCAGGGAGCGTCAGTATGATAACCCCCACTTTCTCATTCTTCAGGACAGAGTTCCGAGAGGTGATGCTAGGGATGTGACTATTGGTGATGACGGCGTGCTGAGAATGTAGGGCCGAATATGTGTGCCTAATGTAGATGGGCTTCGAAAGTTGATTCTTGAGGAGGCCCACAGCTCGCGGTATTCCATACATCCGGGTGCCGCAAAGATGTACCAGGATTTGAGGCAGCACTATTGGTGGAGGCGGATGAAGAAGGATATAGTTGGGTTTATGGCTCGGTGTCTCAACTGTCAGGAGGTTAAGTATGAGCATCAGAGACCGGGTGGCTTGCTTCCGAAGTTAGAGATCCCAGAGTGGAAGTGGGAGCGGATCACCATGGACTTTGTAGATGGGCTCCCACGGACTTCGAGGAAGTTTGGCGCTATTTGGGTTATTGTGGATTGGCTGACCAAGTCCGCGCACTTCATTCAAGTTGGTACTACTTACTCTTCAGAGCGGTTGGCTGAGATTTACATCGGAGAGATCGTTTGCCTGCATGGTGTCCCAGTTTCCATCATTTCAGATAGGGGTACTCAGTTCACATCGTAGTTTTGGAGGGCCGTGCAGTGAGAGTTGGGTACTCAGGTTCAGTTGAGCACAACTTTTCACCATCAGATAGACGGGCAGTCCGAGCACACTATTCAGATATTGGAGGACATGTTGCGTGCTTTTGTCATTGACTTTGGGGGTTCATAGGACCAGTTTCTGCCACTCGCGGAGTTTGCATATAATAACAGTTATCAGTCGAGTATTCAGATGGATCCGTACGAGGCTTTATATGGGAGGAGGTGTAGATCTCCGGTTGNTTGGATGGTTTGAGCCGGGTGAGGCTAGGCTCTTAGGTACAGACTTGGTCCAGAACGCATTAGATAAGGTGAAATTGATTCAGGAGCGGCTTCGCATAGTGCAATCTAGGCAAAAGAGCTACGTGGATAGGAAGGTCCGTGATGTGTCTTTTATGGTTGGGGAGAAGGTTTTGCTGAAGGTATCACCCATGAAGGGTGTTATGAGGTTTGGGAAGAGGGGCAAGTTGAGCCCCCGGTTCATTGGGCCTTTTGAGGTGCTTCAAAGGATAAGAGAGGTGGCTTATAAGCTTGCCTTGACACCCAGCTTGTCGAGTGTGCATCTAGTGTTTCATGTTTCCATGCTCCGAAAGTAATTTGGAGATCCGTTCCATGTTTTGGATTTCAGCACGGTTTATTTGGAGGGTGATATGACTTATGATGTCGAGCCGATGGCTATTTTGGATCGGCAGGTTCGAAGGTTGAGGTCAAAGGATATAGCTTTAGTGAAGGTGTAATGGAGAGATCAGCCTATGGAGGAGGCCACCTGGGAGATCGAGCGGGAGATGCTGAGCAGATATCCACGCCTATTCTAGACTCCAGGTATGTTTCTAGACCCGTTCGAGGACGAACAGATGTTTAAGACGGGGAGGATATAATGACCTGGTCGGTCGTTTTGAGAGTTATAGCCCCGATTTCCCCATTTATACTTCTTTTTGTGTTATTCAGCTATATTATGTTATATCAGGTTAGTTGGTTCTGGTCCGGAAGGAACTCAGTGTGAAATGAGACACTTAGTCTCATAATTGAAAAATTAAGTTAGAAAAGTGGACCGGATATGGACCTATGTGTAAACGACCTAGGATTCGAATTTTGATAATTCCAATAGCTCTGTATGGTGATTTTGGGCTTAAGAGCGTTTCCGGAATATTATTTGGAGGTTCGTAGAAGAATTAAGCTTGAAATGTCGAAAGTTTAATTTTTGAGAAGTTTGACCGGGGGTTGACTTTTTGATACCAGGGTCGGAATCTGATTCAGAAAATTGGAATACCACTGTTATGTCATTTATGACTTGTGTGCAAAATTTGAGGTCAATCGGACGTGATTTGATAGGTTCCGGAGTCGCTTGTAGAAATTAGAAAGTTTAAAGTTCATTAGGCTTGAATTGGGGTGTAATTCATGGTTTTACCATTGTTTGAGGTGATTTGAGGGTTCGACTAAGTCCGTATGTTATTTTAGGACTTGTTGGTATATTTGGTTGAGGTCCCGAGGGGCTCGGGTGAGTTTCAGATGGTTAACGGGTTGGATTTTGGACTTGGAACTCTGCTGGAATTTTTCTGATGCACCATCTGGTTTCCTTCATCGCGTTCGCGAGTGGAGCCTCGCATTCGCGAAGAGGAACTGGGAGGCTGGCAATATTTTCTCTTTGCGTTCGCGAATAGAAGCACGCGTTCGCGAAGGGTGGACTGGGTGTGCATCGCGAACGAGAGAGGTGTTACACGTTCGCGAAGAAGAGAGGAAGCACGCCTGTATTTATCTTCGGGAGGCTTTTGAACTGTTAGAAAAATTTCACTACTTTGATTCCTTGTTGTGCNTGTCGTGCAAAAATTGTTGACTTAAAAAATTCTAAACTCTTGTATTCTATTGTCTCACAGATGGTGAGGACACGTACAAGCGGATCTGATGAACAAGAACTCGCGCCCCCTGCTAGAGACGTGAGAGGCCGGTGCCGGGGTAGAGGCCGAGGACGTCCATGTGGTGCAGCCAGAGTACCCGCACGAGCTGCTACGGAGGAGCCCCCAGTAGCTCAAGCTGAAGGGCAGACACCTGAGATACCTGTTGCTGCACCAGCACTCCAGGAGACTCTACCCCAGTTTCTGAGCATGTTCAACACCTTAGCTCAGGCTGGATTGATTCCACTTGCTCCTGCCACATCTCAGGTCGGGGGAGGAGCACAGACTCCCGTCGCCGGTACTCCAGAGCAGCGGGTTCAGGTCGATCAGGTTCCAGAGATTGTATCAATGCAGCCGATAGCTCCAGCTCAGCCCGAGGTTAGGGCAGCAGCTTCTAAGGTGGAGCAGCTCAGACTTGAGAGTTACAAGAAGCACCACCCACCTACTTTCAGCGGATTGGCTACAGATGATGCTCAGGGCTTTCTAGAGGAGTGTCATCGTATTCTCCGTACTATGAGCGTAGCGGAGACGAGCAGGGTCTTTTTTACCATATTCCAGCTTAGAGGAGAAGCCTATCAGTGGTGGCGTGCTTATGAGTTGAGTAGTCCAGCTGAGGCAGCTTCACTTACATGGACTCAGTTCTCGGACATGTCCCTCAGAGCCTCAGGGACTCATGGCACGCGGAGTTTGAGCAGCTGCGCCAGGGTGCTATGATTGTGTCAGAGTATGCAATTCGCTTCAGTGATTTGGCCCGACATGCACCGACCTTAGTTGCCACAGTTTGAGAGAGGGTTCGATGATTTATTGAGGGTCTCCATCCCAGCACCCGGAGTAGTATGGCCAGGGAATTGGAGATGGATATTTCTTATTAGCAGGTTGTGGGTATTGCCAGGAGGTTTGAGGGCATGTTTGCCCGGGATAGAGAGGAGAGGGAGGCCAAGAGGTCTCGAGAGGCTGGTTATTATTCGGGAGCTCGTGCCCCAGCAGCTCGCCATGGTAGGGGTTATGTGAGCCGCTCCGTTCATTCAGCTCTTCCAGCCTCCAGCGGTGTTCCAGCTCCTTCTAGACCACAGGAGAGTAATTTTAGTAACGGAGAACATATATTATACACATAAGAAAAATAATATAATACTATAGTAGATCTAATAATTAATTTTAGCGAAACCATAACCTTAGATACTTAAAACCACCATGTCTATGTATGGTTGATTCTTGTTGGAATTCAAATATTTAAGCTTGTTATTTCCAATAATTCAATTACGCATGATAGGTCTTGAAGTCCCAGGAGTTTCCGGAATGACAGTCGACCTACTTGGGAACTACTGAAGAAGTAGATCCACTGGATCTGATAGCAAAAGGCGCACCAAAGTTGAGTCCTGAAACCCTATTTTGAAATGAAAAAGAGCCATAAGAACCATATGAAGATCTTGCCCTAGCTCCAGTAGGAGCCAAGGCACATCCAAAGGTGAGAAATGGGAATGCATTACCAGGCACCATTTGTTGGTTTTGTGCCTCTCTTTCAACTTTCTTCTTTATGCATTCTATTGCCTCCTTCAGTTGTCGCAGTTGAAAAAGTTAAGTTCTTCAATTGGAGCTTTCCACCAATGACCGGTCTCTCTTCCTTGCTTGTAGGGCTTCTCCACCATTTTTTTCCATTTGAAGAATTCCCTCAATGTTCGTGAGCTCAATATTGAGATCACGAACACTAGCATTTCGATGAGCCACAATGAGCTGATTATGGCCATTATTTGGTGGAGAGTTCCTTGTAAGAAACCTATCCATCACTGAGTCCACACAAAGGTGGCCAAATGAGTAAACTTTTTTGCCCGTGGAAAATACCACAAGGGCTATTTCAGCACCACATAGTGTACAGAGTTCACTAAACTTCTTGAAGAGACCAGCACGACGCTTCGAAAAGGTCACTTGCAAGATACTCTCATTTTGCATCTTCACCATGTCAACCTTGGCGACCCTTACTCCTTTTTGCCATATCTAATTAAACACTCGAGATTTGAGAAACAAAGAAATTGGTGATTTTGAGTCTCAACACCAAGTGCTTTATATAAGATATTATGATAGGAAAATGAATTAAAATAATTTGGGAGTCTAGAAACTTATGTTCTTTCATTTTTTGAAGGATTTGAACCAAACCCATTTTGCCTCCATTCTTTTTTTCTTTGTCTCGCCAGCGCCAGTTTTTAATGATCATAATTAGACAATAAATATTTTCTTAGTTTGAGTTATGTTATTGGATTGCAGTTGGCCACCATTTTATTTGAGAACAAGTTGAAAAATAATATTAATATGAAATACTAAATGATCTGTATAACCTTTTATTTTGATAAGATGTTGTTTAACTAGGCTATTCTATTGTTTGAGGAAAATGAAATCAAATAACTTGGGAGTGTAAAAATTTATGTTCTTTTTTTTTAAAAGGACTTAAACCAAACCCATTTGGCCTTCATTCATTGTTTCTTTGTCTCGATAGCACTAGTCCTTAATGATCATAATTAGACAATACATATTTTTTCTTAATTAGAATTATGTTATTGGACTGCACTTGACTGCCATTTTATTTGAGTAACAAGTTAAAAAATAGTTTCAAAAAAGAAAATATTAAATAATCAATATAACCTTTTATTTTGCTAATATGTTATTTACGTAATTGTTGAGATATTTGATGTATCAAACCAAGTGTAAGAGGGCGTTTATAAAAGTTATAATTTATTCCAAGTTAAAGTTTAGGTATTTTTAATTACAAAATTCTTTCACTTGTCATGAGTATTAGGATTAGGTTTTATAAAGGGAGTCGTAGAAATATATAACATTTTCCGGAGTATCTAAAGCATCAATCGTGAGGAGTTTATTTTGTAAAAGTTTTCAAATTACTCAATAATTACTTTAAGATTTTAAATCGAAATGCTCAAATATTTTCATACTTTAATATGAGTAAGAGAATAGATACTTTCGCACTATCTAAGGCCTATGATGTAAGGTCATTTACTAAGCAAGACTAACAAGAAAATATCCATAGAACTAGACCAAACTACGAATGTACAGAAAATTAAAGCATCATAGGAAATATTTTTGTACCTTCATTTTACATATGAACTTATTAAAACTTATACTATAAAAGTGCTATGTATTTTCATCACTTTCATATATAGAATGATGGTAATATATGAGGTAAAAAAGATATTTCCTACATTGCTTTACTATATTTCTAAATTTGATCTAGTTTTATGGATATTTTCTTGAGTAGTCTTGCTTAGCTAAACCTTCCGTCATAAGCCTTAAATATATGAAAATATTTATTCGCTTACTCATATTAAAGTATGAAAATATTTGAGCATTTCGATTGAAATATTAAGGTAATTAGTGAGTAATTTTGAACTTTTACAAAATAAACTCCTCATGAGGTGCTTTACTAAATAAGCTCCTCATGAGATGCTTTAGGTACTCCAGAGAGAAATTAATACTATATATCTGTAATGACCCGGTCGGTCGTTTTGAGTATTACAGCCCCGTTCCCCCATTTACTGCTCAATTTATACTTTACAGTTGTTGTATGACTTGTCGGAGTAATTGGTTCGGGTCCGGTGAGGTTTTGAATGAATTGAGACACTTGCTCTCCAAGTTGAAAAGATTGACCGGATGATGACTTATGTGTAAATGACCTCGGAATAGAGTTTTAATGATTTCAATAGCTTCGTATGGTAATTTTGGATTTAGGAGCATGTCCGTAAATTATTTGGAAGTCCATAGTTAAATTAGGCTTGAAATGGCTAAAATAGAAATTTAAGCTTGGAAGTTTGACTGGGGAGTTGACTTTTTGATATCGGGATTGGAATCTGATTCTGAAAATTTGAATAGGTCTGTTATGTCGTTTATGACTTGTATGCAAAATCTGAGGTCAATCGGACTTGATTTGATAGGTTTCGGCATTGAATGTAGAAGTTGAAAATTCTTAGTTTCATTAAGATTGAATTGGGGTATGATTCATGGTTTCAGCGTTGTTTGATGTGATGTGAGGTTTCGACTAAGTTCGTATGACGTCTTAGGACTTGTTGGTATATTTTGTTGAGGCCCCGGGGGTCTTGGGTGAATTTCGGATGGCTAACGAATCGAAATCGGACTTAGAATAAAACTGGAAGCTTTCTGCCATTTGATGCAATTGTACCTGCGGAACTTGGCTCGCAGAAGCGAGCCTGGGAGCGCAGAAGCGAAAAAGGGAGAGTGGGCAGTGGCCGCAGGTGCGAGGGAAAATTCTGCACCTGCATGATAGCAGATGCGGATGAGGAATCGCAGGTGCGCTAGTGACCGTAGAAGCGGACTGCTTCTCGCAGAAGCGAGAGGCTGTAGAGCCTTGGCTAACCGCAAAAGCAGCAGATTCTCCATAAAAGGGGGACCGCAGATTCGGTTCAATGATCCGCAGAAGCGAGAACACTGTGCAGGCTACAAAAATAGAAGGGTCTAACATTTTTGTCATTTTGCAGTTCAAACACGGTTTGGGGCAATTTTTCAGAGGGATTTGAGGGGAGAACTTGAGGTAAGTCACTTGTGATCATTGTTAGTCAATAATACTAAATTACCATTGAGTATTCTGACTAGATTACATGTCTTTGAGGTATAATTCGAGAAATTGGGCCTAGGGATTTGAAAATAAGATTTGAGATTTGGAGGCCGAGTTGACGTCAGAATTTCGTAAATTTAGTATGGTTGGACTCGTAATTGGATGGGCATTCATATTTTATAACTTTTGTCGGGTTCCGAGAAGTGGGCCCATCGGCAATTTTTGAGTGTAATTTCGGATATTTGTTGGAAAATTAGTATTTTGATATGGAATTAATTCCTATAATTTTTGTTGACTGAATCAAATTAATTTTGACTAGATTCGAGCCATTCAGATATTTATACGCGCAGAATGAAAATTTTTGAGCATTTTTTATCTTGCTCGATATTGGACTCGGCTTGTTCGAGGTAAGTAACTCTTCTAATCTTGGAGCTCAGGGTATGAATCCTGATTATACGTGTTATGTGTTTGGTGTTGAAGTGACGCACATGCTAGGTAACCGGCGTGTGGGCGTGCACCATGTGAACTATTACTTCATTATTTCTGTGGTAATGTGTAGTTACCTGAACTTATTTGTAATCATGAAATCTCTACGTACTAGAGTTATCGAGCTGTGATTCATGTTAAAAATTATGTGTAGACTATATGCTTATCCTGTTGGGACCCATGGAGGTCGTTACTACTGTCGAGTTATTTGCTTACATTACAATTTCATACTCAGTCATGTTTATTGATTTCCTATCATAGCTCAGTGTCACAACTCGCAATTTGGAGTTGTGATTTCGGCCAAGAATCGGTGAGAAAAGGTCCTTTTGATGGTCTGACGTAGAACTGTCTACTCGGGCAACTTGGGCTTTTTAATTTTAAGCATATATAAGGGGGGGATAGGTGATGAAAGCTCCGACCTGCCTCCCCCATACTTGCTGCTACCGAGCCGTATAGAACGAGCTACCTTGGGGGCAACCTCAAGTGCCTGCCTAGATGACTCAAAAGGAGTGTCAAAGGTACCCATACGAGTTAGGGAAACTCTATGG